TGTAATCCGTATATACCCGTATTAGGCCCCAGTATCGCACCAGCGCGCCAGGCCTTATCTGCTAAGCAGAGGTAGGCCCAGATTTTCCGTTCACAGTCACGTGGACTCCGTTGCAGTGTTGCGAGATGATCTCTTCCTCGCTTCGCCCAAAACCCAGGGGTTGACGGGATTTAGGGTTTAGGGATTACGTGGGGACATATGCGAAATAGATATGTGTGTGTGTATATATACGTATATATAATATCAGGGGTTCAGGGGATTACATAAGGATATGCGCAGAAATATGTGCTTATAAGTATATAGAATGTATACATATATATATATATATCTGTACATATTTGTATGATACAACTATGGGCCGAACCCCCTGTTTCGCGGCTCCTTGTTGCACACCTTTTTGTTGCGGGCCTGGGGTGTACCTAGAGTAGGCAAAGGATTTGGCCCCAATTCCTTGGTATCTTTACATTGGTTTAAGGGTGTAGGTTACTCTACTACAAACCCAGTGTTGTTGACCTGCTCCTATATACATGCCTACATATGTATAAATATGGACCAGAGGTGTTGGGTTTAAGGTCAAGGGTTAGCACGCCCCCATGAGAATCAACTGGAAAAGAGAACGGAACATGACACGGAAACAGTGGATTTTGGCTGATTTTGGTGATAAGCCCATCAAGTCCTGTTAAAACATGTGGTAGTTTCCCTACATTACTGTTCCCAAAATGGGGGAAATTTATATAGGGCCCCGTATTATAATGGGAACCCAAATACAGGACTCCGTATGATAGGGAATTTAGACCAATCCCCATGTCAAAACCACAACACTCAAGAAACCCGTGGAAAACTCTTACGTCTACGAAGCAAGCTTCGCCGCAGTCTGTCAAGTCTTCGCCTTCCTTGTCAGATCTCTCCTCCGGGCAATGAGGATTTTTGGACGCTCCTCAAGTTTGGGGTTCAGGGCATCTTTTGGGAGAATTTCAAGATGGGAGCCTACAGTCGTGCTGAAGTAGATGCGTCTCCAAAACGTTGGAAGCCTAGAAAATTCCCTGCCTATTCCCTGCCTTCTAAAAGCGTGTAGGTGTCGAGGGGCGCGCAACCCTTTCCGAGTAATCAGCCGCACCACAACCTCATAGCCCAAACATAACTTGCAAGTTTTAGCGTTTGGGGTTCAAGAAATGCAGGGTCCCTTTTTGGAAGCCTATTCTTGGAAAACCCCTATGTATCGAAGGCACAGAATGACATGCCTCGGCCACGGTGGGCTTCAGTGGCGGATCAACCTTCCGACCTGCACTGCCAAACGAAAAAATCATGGCTTCCTCTAACACTCCCACTTTTCCTGGGTTGCTGCTAAGGAACTTAACTTAAATTACTATTTTGCGGAACTGCATGAACTACTGTACTATATATATACCCATTGTGGTAACTGAATTTAAGCCCCTTTACAGCAACACAGTTTCTAACCGCCCCAGCTTACTCCTTCACTACTTGGGGCTCTTTCACAAGTCGGGCTCATTATGTAAGGCTCATTAAGGATGAACCTAAGGGATAGTATAGGGGAGTGGTACGGAAACTCATGAGACAAGTGCTTCAGAAAGCAAAGGCAACAGTCGCTATCAATCGACTCCACTGATAGAACCCTAACCCAACAAAAACCCAACAATCCTTCGTCTCCATACTCTGCAAGGCATCCCTTAGTATCCCCGGAAGCAATCCACAACCCTAAACCCTAAACTTGGAGTTCGGGTTCCTGGAACCCTTATACACAGTGGACCTAATTAGACAGCACTATTACACAGGGAACATAACGCGCCCTCCCCAAATCAATATTGATACTACATAGCCCCATGCAACTGCCAGAGAATTCCTTGCATCAAGCCAATAGGATTTCCAGATACACTTATCTTCCCGATGCATCTCACATAACCAATAAATCCTATGCCCTGAACCCTACACCCTAAATACCCCCATAGAACTCATATATCTATAGAGACATATATATATATATATCTACACATATATATACATATGACCGTTTTGAACCCTACACTGCTTCTGACTGAGCTTGGGGCTCAAGAGCATGGAGAAATAATCCTCTGGCTCGGGCTCCGGATTGGTTACGTCCCACAGGCCAAGCGAGTAGCTGCCAGTCAGGGCCTGCGCTACACTTGGGTAGGGTTTATTATGATTCCTTAGGGTTTGGGGGGCGGTTGAGATTAAGGAAATCTGGGAACCCTAAGTAACGGTAAGTTTATGTGGGCTTGAGGGTTAAGGGTTTAGGCTTTGGGGTTTAGGTTGGGTACTGCTCCCCCCGACCTGTAACAGTCTATCTTAGGGGTCATATTAAGAGCTATACACAACTACATTATGAATATTATCCAACTTTTACAGAGTGGGGGCAGTACCCAATTTAGACGTTCATGGGACTCAGTAATTACCTATGACCCGGGATACTATAAATTGTAAGCTATGTACGCTTGGGATAACCTAAATAGGTCCAGTGACCTGGATGTCATGTGAGGTTATAAACCCAGTTAGAAGTACTTGCTAAGTTACTAAGTCCCGTGAACCTCGAAGTAGCTGACGTTACATGCAGTTTGCTAAAGAATGCTACACTTGCACATAGTGTACAAAACATATTAAGCTAAAGTCTGCCAAGGGAGTAATTCCCAGTCAGGGGCTTCTCGATGCCGGGAATCTTGGCCTTAGGCTTATACTCTTCGCCGATTCTAGAGGCTTCTTGCAGGGCTTGTATGTAGAGCTTGTGGAGGTTTGACCGGCTTTCCGCGCAAGTGCTTGACAGTTCAAAAGTCACAGTCGATGTGCTGTCTCTAGTTTGGATGCGGAGACTGTTTCTCTGATCCACATAACAACAGTAGTGATTCATGAGCATAGCAGCACGGAGAAGAGACTTTCCCCGACCGCTTGTTGCGTGGAGGCCTGGTGGCATCCAAAGACCCGCAGGAGAGAAAGAATGCGTGGGTTTAGGGTTAGGGCGGTTAGGGTTTACTGGTTTAAGGTTTACGCTTAGGGTTTAGGGTTAGGGCTCAGGGGTTAGAAATTCAGGGTTAGGGTTGACAGGCTTAAGGTCATGCAGGCTAGGCCACCTCAGCTTGAGAAGGTGGGCCCGCCAGCCCGGTCTTTCAATCTGTCAGGGCTAGCAGAAATTTTCTGAAGCACCCCTTCAGGGGTTCTCTGGGTTATCAAGTCGTAGCAAAGGCCCTCTCTACCAAGCAGCCCCAAAATATGACTGGAATCTGGCAGCTTCTCGCCTTGAGCCTAGGACCTCATGCCCGACCATACACCTCACCGCCATAAAGAAGATTCATATCTGAAAATGAGATCTATTCCGAAGACGATCGCCCAATATAGGGGTCCTTCAAACTGTGCCATGACGAACATCTTCCCTACACTCAACTCCCAACCCCCCTAAACGCTGCACATGAACCCCTACAGCCTTAGTCGGGCAGCTGAGCCTGCTCATCGAAGGCGCTGCTTTGGGCCGACTGCTGCCGTGCCCGTGGCAAGTGGAAAAATGGGCTCTCCTCCAGATTCGGGTTTAGGGTTTACAGGTCGAAAGGGTTTACGGGTGAAGGATTCTTGATCGGCGTACTACCGAAAGCATGCAAAGGTTGTAGAATAGGAGCTGAACTTGAAAGCCACAAAAACAGAGGGTCTCTTTGTCAGTAAGGATCCTGAGTGGAATATGGCGGAATCACATTACATAAGAATCATGTCCATGTGGGAGCTGGAAAGATGCAGCATGTATCAGGTACCCCCTCTTGGGTAGTTCCGGCCTTGGGAACTTTCAGGGTGTGGGCTACCCTGTGAACTACTATGTACTATTACAGACACGATGGACACCAGGGATCATGGTGACAACCTTTGCACCTAGGAAAAGCATCAGAATGGAGGGAGTGTTCGTACCTGAATGCTTGTGGAGGGGGTTGAAGACAGGGTATGACTACAACCTTTGATTCCAGCAATGCTGATAGTGCTGTTCCATGGACTATGAAGGGATAGATATCTGGACCGTAAAATGCTTTTGCCAAGTGTATGTTTCTTCTGCTCGGTACACTTGAAGGTTCATGGGAGGTAGTCAATGCCTGTAACCTTGCTTTATATTTAGGGGATTCTACGCTCAGTTATACGTAGTTACTAAATGTCATCAAAACTTCAAGTAGTAGGACGGCCTATCCCATGTCGCGGATATTGCCCCCACCCTATAGCAGTCATATATACGACCCTTATCACGGGTACAATGGTACTGCAAGAAACTTCAAGTGCGATGCTCCTGGACTGTTAAAGGGTGCGGTCAGTATCCCACCGATAACTGTATGGGACATGAGCGTTGATCTAAATGTAACTTATGCTGCGAAATATTCCTAAACCCTTAACCCATAATGTTGGACCCGCTTTAGTG